TGCTGTATATCATAATCAGATTGGACCCAAAGTTTTAAATATTATGCAAGGTATAGTGCTAGAAATGTTCCAACTATAAAAAAGAGTTGCCTGATCCGATAGTATATCAAAACTTAATCAAGAAGCATTAGCAGCTGCTGGATATATAAATTTTATATATATTTAATTTTATACTTGTGCAGTACTGACAACAAGTTTTAGATATCTGTTAACAAGGGAATATAAAATTTTTACACATGTTTTTAATATATCAAAAGAGTTACGAGAAACAAGCCAACAGTGTCTGTATGAAGAAAAAGTTATCATGATTAACAGCCTCCTGTTTAACTATGTAATGAATATTTTTCCTGTTGATATGACTTTGAGTATATGGTAAAAAATTGCTGAGCATGGGCTTCCAAGGTTAGATGGAAACAAGTATGAAGCAGTTAAAAAAGGTATTTCAGTTTTTTATGACAAAAAGGAAATCAAACTTAACCATCCCTTGGGTCTTTGTGAAGTATATGCATCCTGAAGATACAGCAAATTTGTCCATACCGATACAAATTTCCTGAATTATGCAATTATAACCAGCTGTCTAAGAGAAATTCACTTTGAAAATGATTCAGAATTTACTTGCTGAGAAGGAAATTTTGATGGAGTCAACTTCTATATAGCAAATGGGAAATAAAAGTAGAGATAACAGGTATTTTTACAAAAATGATAAAAAAGTTTGGAGTATAAAATACTAAGTTTTTATTTAAATTTTTATATAAGGCAATACTCTTTTTTGCTGGCCAGAAAAAGAGTTACATGGCATAATTGTTTTGCCAAAAAAAGGTGTAACTAATGGTTTATCTCAAAATCTGACAAAAAAAATAGTAACAGCAATTAAAAAATGAAAAAAAGATATCAAAAATGAAAAATATATGAAGTATTAATAAGAGCAATTGCAATAAGATCCCCTTGCTTTGCTAGCACTGAAAGAATCAATAAAAAAAAACCCAAGACAGTAGCAGTACTGTAGAAAATTTAAATTATACAGGTGTATATTTAGTTTAGACAAAAATGATTGTAAATGGCAATAAATTATTAAAAATGTAAATTATTAACTAAATGTTTATATATAAAACTTAAAGATGGCAAGTAAATATTAGATAGGGAAAAATGAATAATAATAATAATAATAATAATAATAATAAATTATTATTATTATTACAGTATATAAATAAAACTCTTTTTGTTGATTCTTTGACCACATACAAAAAAGATGTTTACAAGAAGTTTTATACTTCTATGCTAATAAAGTCTTACCACTCTCGTTAAACCAGTTCAAAGAGTTGTTTCTTATAACTCTCTCACCTTTCCCCTCTTTCTTGTTTACAATCTCCTTTGTATAAACTGAACTCTTGTGGCTTGTAAAGTCCAGCTTCTACCTTTACTACCCATGTCAAGAAAGTTCCTAAAGGGAGAAGAACCAATACTGAAGTACCCCTTACCTTTCAGCTATGGTGGAGAGAACAAAGGTTTCTGTCTTCAGTCAAAGGACTCATCTTTTCCCCTTTGACTGTTGTTCCTGTGGCCTCTCAGAGTTACCTTTTTCATGGCTTTCTGGGAATTTTGGCTATCTCAGTTTGACCCTGAAATTTCAGGTAGCACGGATCTCACTAACTTTGATTGGATAACACGAAACATGTTGGACAAGATTGATAAACAAGTTCCTATTGGCCACCTCACATGTCTGAATGCATTTCCTCAGCTCCATAAGAACCTGGGATCTGCCATAAGTCGTTGCCCAGTTTGCGGATAGATATAGAACATGCTCTCTCCTATATTAGTCGAAATTCAGATGAAAGAATCCATTCAACCATGGAAAAGGTTACAAGATACTTCAATCGTTTTTGGCATTGAAGTCACCTATCCTTGGCAGCCAAGTAGGTTCTCGTAGCTCTGGTAAATAGGTAAAGATCTGCTTTCTTCTTTTTAAATAAAAACAAACAAGGTGAACAGGAAGTTTTTCCCAGCCGGCAGGTTTTTTGTTCCTGATCCATGGTTTGTGGGAGGACCAGAAACTGAAGAACCACACCAAGAACTCCAACACGACTCCCCCTCAAGCACAACCTCCTAAGGTCGCTAGTGGTATCCACCAATATTACTCTTAGTGAGAGTACTTGAATGAAAATTTTCACTAGATTGGTAGACCCCTTAAAGACTTAACCCGACTTTGGAAGATTTGCACCTTCTTAAATAAGCAGCATATGCTTGAAGCTGATATTATCTTTAGGATCAGGTCGACAACCCCTTCAAAGGTTTTAAGATATCCTCCTAGCCATAGGTCCTACCAGGTTCTTTGAATGAGTAATTCCCTAGACAGAGCATGGCGCTTTGAAACCATTCCCCGCCCTTATTCTAAGCAAGACAACCACACTCTCTTTCCCTTTCAAAGATTAGGACACAACACCTCGGCAGATAATTTGTAGGTATTGGTAGTTTCATGATGGAAGCTTCAATGGATAGTCGGTAGTAGAGAAAATCTAGGTCATCGCCTGGTAGCTCTTTGGTGTTTTATTTTTTTTTTTTAGTTAATCTTCCTTGATAACAAATACAAGAAATATAGTCACTAACTTGGCCCTGGCAAGTTAGTTCCCTACATGGGAGACAACAGACCACGGAGATCCCTATAGGAGATCCGAATCTTTGCATGTATCTTTTAAACATACATGCTAGTATTGTTATTAAATTTGTAGTTAGCTCTAAAGTAGATAATACAAATGTAATATCACATTTAAAGTTAATAAAAGCCAACCGAAGGTTGAACCGATCAAAAAAAAATATATAATAATTATAATATAAAATATTTTTTAAAAAAAATAAAAAATAAATGATAAATCTTTAATAAATAAGTTTTTAATAAATATTTAGTTACAATATTATAATAAAATAATAATAATAATATAATTTATAACTATTAATTTATAAACTAATTATTATTATTTTTATATTAAATTCATATAAAATATAAATTAATCTTTTTTATTATTAAATCTTGTATAGATATTATTATTTTATAAATAATAATAGAACTTGTTAAGAGTTTTAATTGAAATATTTATAATTTAATTAAGTAATAGATAAAATTAAATATATAAATATATATATTTTTTTTTATTTGAAATTTTTTTTTAATATTAGTAAATTCTTATATTACTTTTTTATTTCTTGAAATAATAACTAATCTTAAAATAGTTGCGTTTTATATAATCTATTGTTTATTTTATTAAATTTAAAACTTTTAATTTACTAATTTTTTATACTATTTAAAAATTTTAAACAATATTTATTTCATTTATTGTTAAATATAACTTTTATATGAAGTAACGAGAATAAAAAAAAACCAGTAGTAGTATTACGGGTATACAATTTATTTATACGTATCACATTACGTCATACTAGGTTTCAATTTGATAATAAAGTGGTACAGATCATGTGTAACATGAGTTCGAGTAAATACTACCACCTATGATTGAAAAAAACGGTATAAATATTATTCACATTATTCTTACCACCATGTCCATATGATTACAGTTCCGAGAGGCTTTTGAGAGTAACTATAAACTAAGCTATTTGTGGTAAGATATGTCTTATAAACTAACAGATCCTCTAAGATACACATATTTCTCTGCAGGACGTGACCCATCCTTCAAGGCACCTGACAGTATTGTTCAAAGTATTTAAATTATGGAAGAAAAAACGACCAAAAATGATTCTAGTCCCATTCTTTCGTCAATATTCGCTTTCGGTTCGGTGCCTTCGGTAAATACCAACATATCTTCCTCCTTGGCAATTTCTACACCATTGTTAAAAATGAATCTTCGGATACATCTAAATCTTTCCGAACGAGATTTTATTATTTCCATGGACGGAATAAAACCTGGTAAATTTTTAGAAATTTACAATTCGAATGAGGAATCGGATGTTGACAAGCACTTCATTGTCAAGGTTGACAAGGAGTGCATCAAGGATAAAACAGGTTCACAGGTAGGAAGATAGCTTTTGTTTAACCTATCATTTCTATTAATATTTATCATCTATTTTTTAGATTTCGGTGTCGAGTCATATCGCAAACTTATTTGGATTCGTGACGAATTCTACTGTGGTGGCTCGCGAGGTAGCTTAAATCGCTCGCTTTACTTTTTTTTTTTTTGTTTTATGTCAATAATTTAAAACGATTCCATATTATCAGATCGACGAAGCATCCGTTGCTGCAAATCACGCGGCAGATCATATCGAATTTTATTTCAAGGATCAGTACATCGGTAGGAGCGATATGTGGAGATTGTCTCGAAGCCTTATCAACACTTGTGTTTATCGAGATAAGCGGGTGGAACTTGCGGGATGTATCCGTGCTCAAGTAAAAAAAATTTACGTCAAGGGAAAACAAGTAATTTATTATTAATCAATTATAAATATTCAGTGAACTCTACCTAAATGCACACTTTTAGGACATAGTAAAAAAGAAAGAAAGAAAAGCAGTGTGTATTTAGAGAGGAGAGAGCACCTATGGAGAGTAAAATATGTAAAAGCTTTGATGGGCTTGGATTAAATTACCATGTATTCGGAGAGAGTTTGTGTAGTGTGTGTATTTATTTAGGGGGAGTTCACTACACTTCATCATTGATCACCTTTTTTCTTTCTTTCTTTCTTTTTTTTTTTTTACTAAATTCTGCATATTATAGGTACAATGTGGATATATAACGGAAAATACGAAAGCAATTTTCCGATCAGAATCTGCAAAATTGTTTATCTTTGTTCAAATGTCAAAGGAGATGTGGGAATTCGATGAGGATGGTGATCTATATTATGAGAAAACAGTCGATGGGTTTTTCGCGGAACTATTTCGTCGTTTAAAGGAGAATAAGACAAACCATGTGATTTCAATAGTATTGTTTTCAAGAGTGTTCTATGATGAAAGAGAAGATTTAATGGATGATCCCGAGTTGCTTGACGAGCCTTCATTGATGAAAGATAACGAGGGAAGATGGTGCAAAGATTTCTATAAGGTGATAGTAGATTGGGAGACAAGAAGTGATTGGTCAACGGCATTAAAGGAGTTGAAAAGTGAACTCTTAAATTATCAGCCAAACGTACTATTGAGAAAGAAACGAAAAGATGGCGGTGTTTACAGTGTATTGTCAGGAAAGAATTCTTATGCCTTTTCAGGAAACATACTGGAAGCTATAAATTTAGCATTGAATCCTTTTGATAGGCATTACGTGGATCGAGATTTACTACGTACAGGATTATCAATAGTGGTAGTCACTCCTGGGTGCGGAAGATTCGAGGTTGACAAGAAAACCTTGAGAATCACCACCGAACGTATGGTGAACAATGGCATAGGATTAGATCTTGTGTGTCTATCGAAGATCCCCCTCCACACCGTACCTCTGTTCAAGTTCAAGTCGTTGGAACTTTCAAAAGTTCAACAAAAATTTTACAAAGATCTCACACAAAAATCACACGGGCACAAATCGCAACCACCCAAAGATCCAAAACCGGAACCTCGAGATCCTTTGGACTATGATGAAGACCAAAGTGAAGCAGATTATTCATATTATAAAACCCCGGACTGGGTGCATTGTACTTTCTATCCGGGTAATCAAGAGAAACAATTCAGGCCTGACAAATTCGTTACGCGATGTAAAATGTATGAGATACAGATGATGGGTATCATGGAGCACGAGATATCGTCAATTTTGATTCCATATTTAAATGATCCACAATCATCGCGAGATGATAATTTTAATTACGATGAATATGACGAAAATATATTTTCAAGCAACTCAAAGACCAAGCTGAAACAAAATGGTTTCGGAAGCAGTCATAGTAATGCAAACTTTAAGTGGTACCAAACTATGGAATTTGACCTCGTTAGTCGATCACCCGAATTCACTCAAAGAAACAATGATGACTCAAGTCAGCTACAATCGAGAAGTTACCAAATGGAGATGTCAAGAAGTTTGCCAAAAACATTTTCCACCATGACCATGTGTCACAATCCGAATCGACAACATAATAATTCGAAGATATCGAAATATCAGGGACTCAGTTACATCGAATCAGCGAGTTCCAATAGAATAGAAGGTTTACCAAAAGTGCACGAGTACTACCAAGAAAATATCTTCGAGGGTAATGGTCAAACGGCTGACGAAGATGCGCCGTATTTGACGAATAGCAACACGAAGCCAATAGCCATAAACATAAACTCTCCATATAGGCTTCAAAGGAACTTGAACCGAAATTCGCCGTCGCCCGGAGGAAGTTTCGACTCTCGTACAAGCGAAAAAGATAGAATGCTTGCAAAGTTCTCACCGGAGAAGTTTACGCTCTCTCGACATCGATCAACCTTGGTCAATCCCTGCAACCCAACAAAGATCTCCCATCACAATGGCTTCGACACATATTTAAGAAGATGGGAACATGTGTATCCTAGACCAATATCAATGAACACTATGAAGTGGGCGGCATTATGTACACCAGCCTGTCTGCCGGTAACCACCGATTACTTTCCACCGATCAATGAACTCGGATTGTATGACGAGCACGCCTACAATATGAATCCAGAACAAACCGAAGAAAACTTGTTGAACGAACTGATCTATCAACGTTTATCCCAAGGATATCAGTTAATAGTGCCATCAAATTACACTGTGTATGAATCAAAGCTCTTTGGTTTTGGAACCTTTGCTAAACAGAGCACTCCCCGTTCACATTATCTTAGCATGGGACGCCATGTTCATCAATTGATGTATGATTCGTCGAGTCAACAGGTTGAGGTTAAGAGATATGTTCGCAAGATTATGTATGATCCGAGGCCAATTTCATACTCTTGTGTTGTCTGGCCGAAATGTCAAGAATTTTATGAACCAAGAACAGTCACATTTAGTTTTCCTAATATCGACTATAAGTGGAATTACGTTGATCAATTGGTCTGCGGATTTCATGATGTTTTGCTGGAGCAAGATGACATGATTGAACAGTTGAAATTCTGGAAAACAAGGTTTATACTGATACCGACGGAAAATTTCCAAACGGGTGAATCGCCGGCGGACGAAGAAGTCAGGATGGATGGCATATTTAAGTTTCTC